CCATTCAGGCTCGGTGCCTGTGGCTCAAGTGGCTAAGGCGCCAGCCACATACACCTAAGGTGGCAGGTTCGAATCCAGCCCAGGCCTGCCAAACAATGATGGCTGCAACCAAATAAATAGCCAGGCGGGCACCTGTGTTCCCAGCTACTTGGGAGGCAGAGGTAGGAGACTCACTTGAGCCCAGAAGTTGGAGGTTGCTGTGAGCTGTGGTGCCACAGCACTCTACCCAGGGGAATAGCTTGAGGCTCTGTCTAAAAAAAAGAAAATCCCTTCAGGGCTGGGCATGGTGGTTTAGGCCTATAATCTGAGCACTCTGGGAGGTTGAGGGGGAATGATTGCTTGAGCTCAGGAGTTTCAGACCAGCCTGAACAAGAGCGAAACCCATCTCTACTAAAAGTAGAAAAATTAGTGGGATATGGTGGTGCATGCCTATAGTCCCAGCTACAAAGGGAGACTAAGGCAAGAGGATTGCTTGAGCTCAGGAGTTTGAGATTGCTATGAGCTATAATGCCATAGCACTCTACCAAGGGTGACAAAGTGAGACTCCCGCCTCACACCAAGAAAAAGGCAGGAGTGTTACTGTATTCTTTTTTTCTTTTTAAGACAGAGTTTTACTTTGTCGCCCTGGGTGGAGTGCTATGGCATCACAGCTCACAGCAACCTCCAGCTTTTAGGCTTAGGCGATTCTCTTGCCTCAGCCTCCCAAGTAGCTGGGACTTACAGGTGCCCACCACAACGCCCAGCTATTTTTTTTGTTGTAGTTTGGCTGGGGCTGGGTTTGAACCCGCCACCCTTGGTATATGGGGCCAGGGTCCTACTCACTGAGCCATAGGCGCCACCCAGGATTGTTTCTAAAATCAAAAAATTGGACCAAACTAAAAATCCAAAAATAATCAAATAATTTATGACAAATCCATATGATAAAATACAAGTAGTAATTATAACTTATTTAAATACCAGCTCTGCCAAATAGTAGCTGTAGCTTAGGGAAAGTTAATCAATGTCTCTGCATTTTAGTTTCCTCATGTACAACCTGGATCTGTTTTAAGACACCTAAAGCACTTAGGATAGCTCTCAGACAAAAGAACTCAATAAATGAGTTGTTTTTTTAAATAAGAGGACACTGTAGACTAATGTCCTGGAAAGATGTTAATGTTAAGTAAGTCAAAAAAAGATAATAAACCAGTACATATGGAATTTTTGTTTGTTTGTTTGAGAC